AAAAGAGGTGTCCATCGTACTACCCACCACCAACTCTTTCTCAGCTTCTTTCTTTAGTTGATACTAACAATTGTGTGGGTATGTGGTGAGTCAGATCTTCCCATTGATCCAGCTAGAATTTATTTTTGTATGGCTTTAGTGGTGTTATTTTTCAGCGCTGACACAAGGGCAAGATTTGGGAGGGTTGGGAATGAATGGTGAGGAGGCTGGTATGGGGACCATGGTTGTACACTTCAACTGGCTGTGCAATCATTCTTTTGGACTCTTGAGTGCCAGTCCAGTACCCTGACTGTGAGACTGTGAGTCCTCCCTTCGTTTGAACATGAGGATTCATTACAAGCAAGTTTTGAGTCTTCAATTTGAAGTTTTGATTTCAGCTACTCTCAAGAAAATATTTTGTCCTTTACAGGGACTTTGTAAGTATTGGACCAAGTAATGTTTCAACTATTTGAAAGATATTCTGCAATACCAGAACCAAGTGAATAGTCGTCTCATAGTCAAAGTCCGTATCTGTGAGTGAGTGTGAGTGAGTGAGTGGTTTCTGGAAAGGACCGGCAGCTTGGAAGATAAGTTTGACATTTGATCCATTTGACTCTCTGGCCATTATAAGAAGGCACAGTTTTTGGCACTGGCCTTGGCCAATTTGATATAGGAGTCAAATAGTTCCTAATAGAATTAAACCCAGAATAGTCCCAACCCTAAAATATTCCTGGAGATTCGGCTGGCAGGAAGCAATGTGCTTATACTCTGGTGCAGAGCCAGCCTTATGCTGCGGGTTGCTTTCTGATATGGGACATACAAGTGAATTGCACCTGTCTCCCAACTGACCAGGTGTATTGTCAAATCACCTGCAGGAATGTGGTCTGTCCCATGCTGCTGTGACTATGGGGAAGTTTGGAAAAAATGTGCACATAATCAGGTTTGGACAGAGTTTGCCCTCCTATATACAGAACAAACAGAATCACCCTGCTCAGCAGAGTGCTCTGGAGTTCTCCCTCAACAACTTGTCCAATTCAAGGGTCATGGCTGCTTATGGCCCACTT